CTTGTTATCCAATTTCAACGGATTTATATGGCTACAAGGACTTATCTAGTGTTTGCACTGCCCGATTTGTTAGTTTGCATTTCTCCATATAACTTCAACATTGCATGGATGCCCCATGACCTGCCAGTCAAGCTGGTGCGACTGCTATTACAGATATTCTAACTCAATCATTAGTAATAGTTGCCATAATACAAATATTACATAGGTGATTATTTAAATTTTTGCTGTCAATAGGATTTGAATACCCAACCTACTACTTAGAGGGTTAACAACCTGACCACTTCACTAGGTTGCCACACCCTCAAGATTGTAATTATATATAAGGTTATTTGGTAATAATAAAGATATTTGAAATACATAATTGTGATATTTTTGTAAGATAAAAAATAGAATAGGATTATAGTATATTTTTCATAGTAATAAAAAGTATGTTTTTTCTTGTTCTATATCAGATTTTAAATAAACTAAATTTGAGAGTCTATAAGCTGTAATAACTTTTGCAGTTTAGTTTGTATATAGCTTAGTAATTAGATTTATTCCTTTTTTCAGAATGCCAATTCTTTTGCAGAAGAATATTAATTTTGTCAAATGTCTTTGACATGGTTTAAAAAAGAATTTAAACTTCTTTATTATAAAGTTTGTAGTATTCAATTGTGTTATAAAGAATTTGAATAAGAATGTAAGTAGATAAGGTTTTAGTTGCTGCAAAATTAAGATTTGAGAGTAGGTTGTTGGATAAGATGATTTTGTCTAAGCATTGAGTAAAGTTTTTGTAAAGGTTTTTTTAAAGAGTTTTATAATAAATATAGAACAAACTTGATTGAGAGTAATATTCTAGTTAGATTTTTTGGAATTAGAAAGAGATTTGAAGATTTTCAGACAAAAGATACTTTTTATAGTTGAATCAAAATAGTTTTCAAAATCAACAGAATAGAATAAAATTAGTACAACAATTATATGAAAATTTTGAAACAATTGATAATGCTTTTAACTTTTAAGAAAAATTATTAAATTGTTCAAAATTTAGAAATAAGTTTTAAGAATTTTATTTACTTTAAACTTTAAAATTTATAAATATCTATTAATATATAAGTTTGTTAAAAAGTGAATTTACTTTATAATAATTTATTAACAACAAATAGAAGAGCTTTTTAATAAATTAGATCTAAAAACTTACTCTAATATAACACTTGACTTGAAATAATCAAAATTATAACTTTCATCTAGAAATATAGATAAAAATTATATTGCTCTAAGACTCTTAGATATTTATATTAAATACAAAAATAATTATAAAAAAATTATATAAAAAATATAAAAAATTATGAAGAAAAAAAAAAAACTAAACTGTTTTTAAACTTATTTCAAAATTAGTATTAAAAAAAAAATTTTAATGTATTTTTTTTTATCTGTTATTAATAATAAAATTTAAATTATATAAATTAAGTATAAAAAAAATTTGTATATTATCTCTTAAACTGTAAACTATTTTCAGACAAATTTGTCTAAAAATTAACAAAAATATACTTATAATCTATATTTTTTAGATTTTAAAATATTTAAATAAAATTTTGTTTGATAATATTTAAAAATAAAGGTTATAATATAGTCATATTTAATTTTATATTATAAAAAAAAAGTTTAAGTTATTTATAAACTACAAATAGCAAATTTAAAAAAAAATTTTAATCAAAAAAATTATTAACTAATTCTTAACAAACTTTTTAAATATTAATTTTAAACTTATAGTTTTTAATTCAATATTTAGCTTATATAAAGAATAACAACTTTTATTAATACATCTTTTTTAATTTACTTATAAAAATTTAGACTTGTATTAAAAATGAATTTTTTTTTTAGCTTCAAAAACATATAAAATCTTAAAAAGGTTAAAAAAATTTTTTATAATAAAAATTTTTAAACAAAATCTTTAAATTTTTATTACTTAAAAGTTTTTTATTAATTTTAAAAAATTTTTCTAATAAAGTTTATAAAATATATTTTTAATAAAATATTTTATAAATAAACTGTACTCTATATTATTAATAATTTATTGTATTATTTAAAAAATACTAAATTTAATTTAAAAATCCTTAACCTACCTACCCATTTTTTATGAAAAATCATCTCATTCCTCTCAAAATTCATATATTTATTAAAAATATTATTATAATTAATGAACTTAATATATAGTTATTACTTAAATTCTTTAACAATATACTTAATATCAAATAGTCTCTAATGTTTAAAATATTAAACTCCTTAGAATATAATTCACAACTTTATTCTTTTTGCATTAAAATTCTAACAAATAACTTATCCACTATACAAAATTTAAATATACATTACCCATATCTATATACTACTCCAATATGCTGTTAATGTTCAAATATAAAAGATATCCTATATATATTACAATGTAATAAAAACAATTTAAATATACAACAAACACTTCTTAATACAATTGACAATACTCTAACAGCACTCAATATTTTCACTGTTTTATTATCTATACTCCTAAACATAATATTTTATTTTACACTCAACACAACTAATCCACAATATCATCATATCTTAAACCTATTTGTTGGCACTATATTCAATATGATTTCTGAAAATATTAAAATATTTATAAATAAACAAACTACCTTTCTCTTTATAAACTTATTCAACAATCTTCTATCTTGGTTCTTTAACAAAATCTGGTTTTCTTAAAATATTGCATAACATCAATAAGAAACTGCCTATAATATTATCTCTAAAAGCAAATGCAATAGACTCTTCTTATCTACTATAACTTTAGTATTCAATACAAACTCAACTATAACTCAAATTAAAAAATTCTTCCACTATTAAAAAATGGCTTTTTCAAGATTATTCATTAACTTCTTGCTTTATATAATAATAGGACAAACATCTTAGGTCCTTTCTAACTTATTCTAACTAGAAATTGATAAATTAATCGACTATAGCATTTATTAGAAAATAGGAGGTATAATGTTATATTGAGTGTCTTAAAAGAAATATTCTTAATTAAGTAGCACAAATGTAGTTAGAAATCTTTAGTATAGAAATTTTCTTCTATGTACTTATAAAGTTTTTATTCTGATATTATATAAATAAAAAAAATAAAAAAAAAAAAATTTAAAAATTCAGACAAATTTGTCCAAAAAACAGTTTAAGAGATAGGTTTTGAGATATTAATATATAAAATTAATAACTGACCTTCTACCCTTGGCTAGTGAGTTTGACTTCCAAAAATTGGCCTATATACCATATAATAAAAATATTTATCTGGGTACAATTTTTAGTTTTATATAATTAACTTAAATTCTGTTTTCATTTACAATTGAAATTTTGATTTTTATTAACAATTATATTAAATTGCATCAGTAGTTTCAATATTATATATATTTTGCTGCTAAAATTGAGAATTAGAAATCTAAACTATAATAAAAATATAGGTTTAAACTTTAGTTAGAATAAGATTTACAGGTTGAATAAAGAAATATTAATATCATATTAGCATTTTTTTAGTAGTATAGTTTAAGAAGATATAAATCCTATAAATATGTAGTTTGAGTTAGTTATTAATTATAATAACTGTTTCTGCTTTAGAGTTATTAGTACAAAACTAATAATATATAAATAATTTAAATTTTTAAAGTTTAATAATAGCATTTAGGAATAATATAAATGAAGCACCAGTGCATTTGATGCCCCAACTAAGATTTTATATATTTAAGATTTTATAATCTAAGATTTTATATATCTTAATACAAGTTACATTACGACATAAGTTATTTTATATACTGTAATATAAGTTACAATAAATTATATAATCATGAAAAAACTACATTATATATTACATATAACTATATCGAGTTTACTAAAAATTTAATTAACAGCCCATGACTAGTTCTAAGTTATTATATAAAATGCTTTAAGTCTCAAGTTACACCTACAACTCATACTGCACATGTGCACATATATTATTATTCTCTATTATGCAATTTTTTTTAGTCCAGTTAGACATTTCTTCCACAGGTTTGCCATCAATCGAATTCTTTTTTTTCCAAATAAAGCTTTAAACTTCTAGACTTTGCATTAACACAAATGGCCTATTGGGTTGATTCCTGTAAATTTAATTTGTAGAACCATAACTTTTGTGATAACTTTGTTACAGCAAAAGATGGTGTACTTTGTGATTGCATTAATTTAGAGCCTTAAAAAATTAGTTAAATAGCTACATTAATTAAAGCAAAAATAAAAAAGTGTTAATTGTTATATACTTTGCTTAGAGGGTAAAGCGAAGCGATCGATTAGTATCTTGTTCACGTGATAATTGATCACAAAGAACATAATTTCAAACGAAAATATTAATAAATGATGTAGATTAGTAATTATAATAGTATAAGAGAGTATAACAATAACAATACATGAAATATGTGTAGTTAATTTAAGAGTTAAAATGTCATGATTGATTTATGATGTAACTAGTCAGAGTCAAATTGATATTTATAAGCAATGAAAATTAAGTACCTTTTCTTCTTTAATAAAACGATACAAAAGTAAAGTAATACTTGCCTTTGAAAGTGTACCTGGCGTCTTCATAATTATTAGGTTGTATTGTGTTTGTTGTGTGAGTAGAGTTTTTAATGACAAGTTATTATTTAACCCGCGATACTGTTATATTAGTCATTTACCACATTCTTATGTTTTTATCCAGCTAATATAGTACGAAGATTCTCATAACATCATATACAAAATTCTCCTTTATATACTGTAAATATGGATGCTAGTAAAATGAATCCCAGTGTAAATAGTGAAGAGTTAATGAAAAGTGAAGGAGAATTCAATAAAAGCAAAAATGAAAACTGGTTAAAAGATAATGAAAATGATAATGATCTTTATATTGGTAAATCATTTGCATCATGGCAAGAGGTATATCTCTTTCTCAATAATTATTGTATGCAACAAGGTTTTGAATATAGGAAGGGATGCTCAAAAAAAAAAAAAGTAAAGAAAGTGCTTCCAAAAGAACATTTTTATGCAAACATGCTGGTATATATGTGCCAAATAAGGTGGCTAGTCTTGACAATCAACGAAACAAATTTTCTTATAAAGTTGATTGTCCATGACATATCAATATCAATGAAAAGGATAGTGATGCCTATGAAGTAACGACGTTTGTAAATGAACATAAAGGTCATGAACTTAATTCTCAGAAGGTTTATCTTTTATCCCAATTTCGGAAATTAACTAAAGAAATGTTGAATGATATACAATTTTGGATACTCGAAGGTGATATCAATGCCAATAGGCAGCATCGTATGCTCATAAGCAAGTATCAATGTTGTATTGTCAAACAAAATCTTTATAATGCGATTAATAAGATTAGATGAGAAAATGCATCAGCACAAAAAGATTCATTTAATCTTGTTAATGATTTATTAAAAAAAAAAATGATGACCCAAGATGGATCGTGGAATATCAAATTAATTCAGTATCTCATGCCTTTACGCATCTGTTATGGATGGAGCCTCAGCAAGTGGAACTTTACGTTCGCTATGGTTCAGTTGTAGTTCATGACAATACTGCAAAGACCAATATATATGGTCTTCCACTATCTAATTTTATAGTTGTAGACAATAACTTTAATACCCAACCAGTTGTTCAAGCATTCATTGATGATGAAACTTTAGAGTCATATATATGGTGTTTGGTAGCTTTAAGGCAGCAACTTAAACTTTGTCCTACAGTAATTATCACGGATGCAGATCCTGCAATGGATATTGCAATCGCACAAATCTATCCACAAGCAAAACATTTACATTGTATCTGGCATATTAGTCAGAACTTGCCAAAAAATTTGAAGAGTAAGTTATATAAGAACTATCAAGTCTTCGCAAATAAATTTTTCCAATGTCATAACAGACTTAGCGTTGAAGCTTTTGAGAATGCATATATAAAATTAATTAATGAGTATCCTGTGGCCAAAACTTATATTGAATATTTGTACTTAAGTAAAAGATCATGGGCTAGATGTTATATGAGCTTATATTTTATGGCCGGGATGCAATCAACCAGTCGTGTCTAAGGTTTTAATGAAGTACTTAAAAAGAATTTAGATGGTCGATGCATATCATTATGTGATCTTCATATAACAATTGCTCGATTACTTAAAGAAAGACAAAATAATAACGAATTTGTTGCATGGAAAACATCAATGTCAATCATCTCACCACCAAATATATATAACAAAATATTTCAAGAAATTGATAAAAAACTTTGTACATATATAACATTAGCAATAACAGAAAAAATTTGGGAACAGATGAATTATAGCTTTCTTTATCATGCAACGCAAATTGAATTTAACAATCTTGCTCAAAATAATCCAGATCTAGATGTCTTATATGAGACAAGTTGTGTTGATGAGGTCTTTGATTTGCTGCAAACCTGTATAAATATGATTTTATTGGAGTTTCGCAGTCAAATTAGTTCAATATGGGAAGTTTGGCATATGAAATATGCAACACCACCACAATTTATTTGCCTTTTAACAAATGGTGACCATAGATGTACTTGTAAGCTGAGTATTATTTCTGGTTGGATCTGTAGACACTTTTTTCGCGTGATGTGCATGACAGCAGCAGCAAAATTTCACATTAATATGGTTAACCGACACTGGTTAAATAATGAAATGTATGATAAAGACCTGAATAGCCGGAATTTTATTGGATTGTTAACTACTGATACAAACATTTTAACTACAGAACTTCCTATTAAGTGGGTCTTTGTAACAACTAATGAAATTACTGGATTTTTTAAACATGATCAAGAATTTGCACAGCAAAATTTAAAAGCAAAGCAATGATATGCAAAGATGTTTGGTCTTGCAAAAACATTAATAAATAAAACAATTGAATTAGATATAGATAGAAAATTGCTTACGATGCTTGAAAACTTTCAAAAAAGTGAAATTAATCCAATTCTTAGTAATATAGATTATACGCAACTTGGTGATGTAGATATTATTGTTTTGGATGAGAGAGTATATGAAACCAGAAATGAAACTGTACTCAGCACTAACGAAACTCAAAAGAGAAAGAATTCGGAGATCAGTGTCAATAATCCTATCGTTAAACACAGAAAGGGTCATCTGCGAAAAGAGCATCGTGTTCTTAGTAGTGTTGAAGCCACTCAATCATTAGCGGGTTCCAAGTTGAGAAGTGTTACTTGTGCATATTGTCATGAAATTGGTCATAATATCAGGCATTGTAAAAAAAAGATCGCTGATGAAACTAGATGAGATGTTAGAAGATTAATTACAATATCCATATAACAATATGGCTTCAGTTTTAAATAATAGTATTGCTGTTTTTCATGAGTTTCATAAGTTGATTGTAAGTATGCTATGTGTAATGTTTGGATTGACTTTGCATTACTGTATAGTGCTTATTGTATTCACATATATTGTATTTCTAGATCATTATAAGAAATGCTATACAGTATATGTGAAATTTATATGAATTACTTAGTGTTACAGACCATGTAATAATTATTATCCATTATTTGAGGCATCTTAAATGGTTTAGACGAAGTTATTAATTAGTAAACAATTTATACGAAGCAGTTTCAATGGAAATATAACTAGCAAGTCAGCTTCATGAGTATGACAAAAAAGTTTGAATTCATGTTTAGAGATCTTTTGATCAACAATAAACTACCATAATATCACTGATATAAAAACTTTTACTATTTGGATGAATTAAGATTAAAGATCTGGGTACTATAAAATTAAACACAAATAGCAAAATTTTTTAAGTTGGTAATGCTAGGTTTTAATTGACGATATACTACATGATATGTCTGTGCTATAAGGTGCATAAAATGCATAGGGTACTGTATAACAGATTCCTAGCATTTATATTAAAAATTTTTGATTTTAACAATACTGATTATATTTTAGATTATTAAAAAAACTTTGTTTTTTAAATTTGTTATTTAATCTTTATATTATAATCTTGTATATTATCTCTTAAACTGTATTTCAGACAAATTTGCCTAAAAAATTCAATTGTATTTAGTATTTTTTTAAAAAATAATAATATATTAATGATATAGAGTATATTTTGCTTATGAAATATATTTTTAAAAACATATTTTATAAACTTTATTATAAAACTT